TGAATTCCTTTGCAGATATTTCATTGATTTCTTTGTCTTCAATATCTGTTACTGAAGAATTATTATGTTCCTTTGGAAGTGTCATGTTTCTTTGCTTTTTCATGTTTACTGTGTCCTATGTTGATATATGCACATCTCCTGGAACAGATGCTTTTTCTAATTTTATGGAATAGCTTTTGTAAGGATAGACATTTTCCCATAGACATGTCCTATAGCATCATTTGGGTAGAGAGCTTTGGCTTTGGTGCTATGTGGGCACAGTAGTGTAGTGTCCATGTAATTTCATTGGCTGTAATCAATGTCAGAGGTGACTTTGAGTGCTTCAGTGGCCTAGGCTATGTGTTTTTGTGGAAGCTATGTCACAGCTTTACTGGAAGTGGAGACCACCAGACAAGCCAGTCCTTGGGCCCTAGGGGGACATGTGTGGGCACATGACAGCTCCACAGTTTAGGATAGTGGGGTCACTGGTGGCAGTGGGCCTGAGCAAGCCACTCTTGGGACCTTGGGAAAATGTGAAGAGGCTCCACTGCTGTGGGGTAGATTGTCACCAGTTGGTGCAGGCCCCAAGTGGTCTGATCCTTGGGCTCCAGTGGGGTCCAAAAAAGTGCACAGTGGCTCTCCTGCTAGAGAAGGTCACCTCTCAGTCTCTGGGTAGCATGTGCATCAGCTCCTTCTGTTTTGGGCTTAGCCTTGCCCTTATCCTGGATAACGTGTGCTGGGTTGCTGGGTCATGATGTGTGGGCTCAGGTGCCCACACATGGGTTCATGGCTGCACTGGTAGGCCCAGCTGGAGCCATGGTACTTAATGCCACTAAACTTACACTAAAATATAATTTAAATGGCACATTTTTGGTATGGGTATTTCATCATCATAATAAATGCAAAATTATAAAACTCTTAGAATATGACATAGGAAAAAACTCTAAATGACATTGGGCTTGTCAATGTTGAATTTTATCAAAGGTCTTTTCTGCATGTATTGAAATAATCATGTCGTTTTTATCTTTAGTTCTATTTATGTGATGAATCATGTTTATTGATTTGTTTATGTTGAATCAACCTTGCATCCTAGGGATGAAGCCTACTTGATCATGGTAGATAAGGGTTTTGATGTGCTGCTGGATTCAGCTTGCCAGTACTTTACTGAGGATTTTTGCATTGATGCTCATCAAGGATAGTGTCCTGAAGTTTTCTTTTTTGTTGTATCTCTGCCAGGCTTTGGTATCAGGATGATTCTGGTCTCATAGAATGAGTTAGGGAGGAGTCTCTCCTTTTCAATTTTGGGAATAGTTTCAGTAGAAATGGTACCAGCTCTTCTTTGTACCTCTGGTACACTTCAGCTGGTACCATCAGACCATCCATCTGGTCCTGAGCTTTTTGGGTTGGTAGGCTATTTATTTCTGCCTCAATTTCAGAACTCTTTGTCTATTTGTGGATTCAATTTCTTCCTGGTTCAGTCTTCGGGGGGTGTATGTGTCAAGCAATTTATCCATTTCTTCTAGATTTTCCAGTTTATGTGCACAGAAGTGTTTATAGTAATCTCTGATAGTTATTTGTATTTCCGTGGAGTCAGTGGTGATATCCCCCTTATCATTTCTGGTTATGTTTATTTGAATCCTCTCCCTTTTCTTCTTTATTAGTCTTGCTAGTGGTCTATCTATTTTAATAATTTTTTCAAGAACCCAGCTTCTGGATTTGTTGATTTTTTTGAAGGGCTTTTCATGTCTCTATCTCCTTCAGTTAAGCTCTGATCTTGGTTATTTATTGTGTTCTGCTAGCTTTTGGGGTTTGTTTGCTCTTGGTTTTTTAGTTTTCTTAGTTGTGATGTTCAATTGTTAACTTGAGATCTTTTTAGCTTTCTGATGTGAAAAATCCCAATTTAAAAATGGTCAAAATATTGAAGAAATACTTTACCAAAGAAGATAGGCTGATGGCTAATAAGCAAGTGAAAAAAAATTTAATATCTTACATCATTTGCAAATTGTAAATTAAAACAATGAGATACCACTATAGAACTATTAGAATGGCTAAAATCCAAAACACTGACAACACCAAATGCTGATGAAGATGTGGAGCAACAGAAATTCTCATTCATTGTTGGTAGGAATGCAAAATGATACAGCTATTTTAGAAGACAGTTTAGCAGGATTTTTTCAACTAAACATATTTTTAGCATATGGTTTAGCAATCATATTTCTTGGTATCTACCCAAGTGAGTTGAAAATTTATTTCAGCATAAATACCTGCACATGAATGTGTATGGCAGCTTTATTCATAATTGCCCAGACTTGGAAGCAACCAAAATGACTTTTAGTAGGTGAATGAATAAATAGACTGTGGTGCATTTAGACAAGGAATATTATTTGGTGCTAAAAGGAAAGAGTAAACAAGCCATGGAAAATACATGGAGGAACCTTAAAGGCATGTTACTAAGTGAAAGAAGTCAATCTGAAAAGGCTATAGCCCATCTAATTCCACTTGTATGAGGTTGTGGAAAGTCAAAACCATGGAGACAGGAAAAAGATCAGTGATTGCCAGGGATTTGGGGAAGAGAGAGGCACGAAGTAGGGAGCATAAGGAAATTTTAGGGCAGTAAAATCTATTTTGAATACTACTTTAAGGAGAATACATGTCATTATACATTTGTCAAAACCCATAGAATGCAAAACACAAAGAGTAAACCATAATGTAAATTATGGGCTTTGATTAATAATAATGTCAAGGTTCCTTTATCAGTTGTAAGAAAGGTACCACATGCAACAAACATACAGATAATGGAGACTGATGTTAGGGGAAGTAGTTGGGGGAGTATGGAGTAACAATCAGCATTTTCCACTTAAATTTCCTGTGAACTTGAAACTACTTTTAAAACGCCAATTAATTTTTAAAAATCCATAGAACGTACTCTAAACAGTATAATCCAAAGAGTGAACTCTAATGTAAACTATAGGCTTTAATTAATAATAATAATATATCAATATTGGTTCAATTGATGCATAAGTATCACACTAATGCAAGGTGTTATTTATACCTAAAACTATGTGGTGAAGTGAGGGGCCATATGGGAATTGACTGTACTTTCTACTATATTTTTCTGTAAACCTAAAATTACTTTTAAAAATGATTTTATAAATTTAAAAACAAATATAAGTATTTTCTGTCAAAAGAAACAAAGACACCATTTTAAAGACAAAAAAAAATATGATCACACATACAGCTGGTTAGTGCTGAGGCTGCAATTCTATTCATGTCCACTGGATTCCAAAAAGTTCTTTTTTCCACAGCATCCCATGGATCTACCTGCTGTTGAAGTTAATCTAATAGTGAAGGGCAATAGACAAACATGAACGTCTTTCAGAGAGTCACTACAGACACAACAACAGAGCATGAATGCATCTATAGATTAACTGTGCCAACGTCTTTTTTTGGAAACTTCTCCCTGGACTATCTCAACTCTGGAGGTTACAAATGCTAGCTATGATTTCCCAAAGTCTCTTGCAGGTAGCAGTGTCCATGTGACACAGCTCTTGCCAATATATCATGAGTACAAGTGAGAAGGTTTCTGGAAAAGCCTTTGCTTTTCTCTTTCAGGAATTAATCCCTCTTGTTCCTCCTTTCTTTATTGCCTGAAATGCAGACTAAGAGAGAAGCAGCAGCCATCTTGGGACCCACCATGAAGTGGGGAGCATAAGGAGGAAGGCCTCTGTGCTAGGCACAGGTGACTGGAAAGTTGGGAGGAGGCTGCTGCTACCATTCAGCGGCTAAACAGGGGTAGATGCTTATTTGCTCCATGGGCCTCTTAGAAGTACTTGTGTAGGGTATTCTGTTATTTACAGAGAACACAGTCCTAATACATATGTATCAACAGAGTAAATGTTTTGAGACATAAACTTACAATCATCAGTTTCTCATGACCGTTTTAGGTAGACTTTAGTAGGACTTGAAATATACATATTAAAGACTGAAGTAATTATTTGCATATTCTTAGTAGACAGTTAACCACAAGTTATCTTTGAATCACTCAAAAAGTGGACATACCACCAGAGCTGGTCAATATGGATTCTAATTCAGTGACTGCCTCCATGGATTTTGTGAAGGAACAGACGTGAAACATGGGCTGGAACAGGATCTGGGTCTGGAGGTGCCTCTCTGTCCTATAAGGGCTGTATGTTTGCTGGACATTACCCTCATTCTTCTAGGTTGAAATCTCCACATCAGACAGCACTCTTCCTTGCATCATCCAAGTAGGCTATGATCCGTGAGGTTTTGCAGTCATTTATGAAGTTTTGCAAGGTGCCCTTGGTGAGGAATGAATAAATCCTAGAGACTTGGTTATTATTAGTCATGTATGGGACTTTGAAATACAGGAATTACTGTCTTCATCTCTTAAATTTGTTTACAGGCATTTGATGGAGGAGATTCACTTGTCATTCACCTGTATTTCTTCTATAAATGCTGGGTAAAATGCATGCATATATAACAGACGAAACCAGTAAAATCCTAAGTTGATAACTATGTCGATTTACTTTTCTAACAAGTGTTCATATTATTTCAGTAATTTTGCTTACAGAAATAGTTTGTAAATTCTAAAGAAGTGAACATAAAGTATGTTCCCTATACTATTTCTTCTGTAACATATGATATCGACTTGTTTGTTCTCTTTTACATTATGTCTATTCATTTTTCTCCTTAAAAATAATTTACTTTTAAGTCTCTTAGACACTAGAACTGAGAACAGAACCCTAGCTTGAAAAGCACTTGAGTTTCCTTCAGACTATACTACAAAAAATTTTTTTAAAAAAGAAAAAAAGTACTTCAATTTATATGACCTCAACTAAATTAAATTTGGTTTAGTGTCCAATCTGATTGTTTGCAATGAATATTTCAATACAAAAACATTTCAAAATCTATTAGGAAAGTTCAAGTGTTATGGCTTTATGTAACTGGTATTAGGTACTATGTTGTTATTACATAGTTATACATGGTAAAGTTATACATGGTATGGTTAAAGTGGTGAAAGTTTTATTGTAATTTTAAGTTAGCAGCATTAAAAAGAATAACACAACATAATCATTCTGTTAATAAAAAGACAAAAAGACATTTCAGCATAAAAAGTGTCATTTATAGAAAGTACAATCATATGAAGTCTTTTCTTATACATCAAATGAAAAATCTAAACATTAATAAAGATTTCTTAAATTTAAATAATTAATGGGACCTGACAGAAGCATCAGTGAAAATGTCATCAAGAATATGTGTGAATATTAGATGAGATGTGCACAATCAGCTTCATCTCAGCAAAATTCAGCAAGAGCTCTTTTGGTACAACCAATTAGGCAACATTGGTCATACAGTGCCAGGGAGAATTGTCTCTTTCTTCGAGAATGAGCATGCAAGCCTAAGTATTTTAGCTCTGAAGGACTGCTGTGTGGGGCTTCACTTTGTCTATTGTGAATAATTTTCTTAAATGCTTCAGAGCTAAGATCTGAATCCTTTAATATGGGTACATGTTGTTGTAGCTCTGGTAACAATGACTGCCTCCCAGATGGGGCTGCCTTCAGCTCCTGTGGCTTAGCAATTAATTCCGACATCATATTTATGGTTTCTGTATCTTTGCTGTTGAAGGATGGCACAATTTCTGTTAAAGTAAAAAAAAAAAAAAGTGTATGTGAGGTCATATTCATGTCAAAGAGCATCCAGGAAAACTATGAATGTTTACATAGAAAAAAGAAAGCATTGCCTCAATATAAACATTGGAACAAAATAAGCAAGCATCCTAATATCTAAACAACTTAGCTTTCTTACAGTTAGACACCTTCGAGTACCATAATTTTACCAAGGCTCTGATCTACCCCATTGGTTCTCTCTCATCTCTCTTCATGATCCCCTCAATGCTTTTATCACAGTACTTTTGACTCTGACATTAATCTGTCATCTGTCTGAAGTCATGTAAGTCATTGAAAACACTCAGTTTGACCACAGTTAGTGTTCATTTTCTTGGATTCTTCTTAAGTCATTTTCTTCCATTGCTAAGCTATGATTTATGATATTATGAGTTGTAATAGTAAGCCTTGAAAAAGGTATTATTTTAAGCTATTGAGTGTTTCATGGTGGCAAGTTACTCCTGGAGGATAAAGTTAAAGAGGCAGAATTTCCAACACCTCTGATCTAATTAACAGGAGAAGGAAGTCTGATGTTCCTCAACTATCTATTTAACAATTTGTCTTCCCCAGAGTATGTACTCCAAATCAATAGTATTTTATATTAAAGAGAGAAGTGGGTTAAAAGAACACTAACCAAAAATCACTGACTTAAGAAGAGATTCGTATCTGCTGTGGTGTAAGTGTACTGATTAATATTTTGTTTGATGTTTGTTCCAAAGCTGCGGATCATGCACTAAGCAAGATTTGTGTGTCCCCTAGAAAGGGTGCCTGTTCTTACAAGCAACCCAGGCTGGCCAAATGTGAAGGCTGGGACTTGGGCTGGGAACCTGCTGAACACCCAGCTGACATCTTCCTCCATCTTTGTACCCATTCAGCTCAGTTGAACATTCATTAACTGTTTCCATGTCTCTAGCACTGCTAGTTAGGAGACATAATTTTTTTATTAATGTTTCTTGCACTCAAAAAACTTACAGTGAGCTAAACTCTCTCCTAACTATCCTAATTACACAATTTGAGAGTTTTATTTCACAAAGAAATTGGAAACACTGATGGTGTTTAAATTATAGTCTAAACCTAGATCAGGTCTTGCTGCTCTTCTTCCTGGACAGCAAAACTGTCCATTAACAAGGCATTACTCTTGACGTAATGAAAAGAAAGAGATGAGAGGAGTAAATCTAAGTGTGGGAGGCAGACACCTGGTTAACCACTGATGCCTGCTGATAGAGAAAACCATGTCCCTTCACCTAGACAGCACTAGTTTTGGGGCAGAGCATTTCTTGAGTTTTGTAGCAAGTGACTCAGTTGTTCTCCTTTTAGCCCACAACAAACTTCAACAGTTGGAGTTTGACAGAAGAATTAAAAAATAAAACATTTTGTCTTTCTTCCTAACACTCTCCCTCATTCACATTCTTAACTGGAAATGACAGATGTGAATTTATATCATTTTTGGTTAAATAAGAAGTTTTGGTATTTTCTGTCAGTAAGACATCCTAAGTTTAATTCAATTTAATTTTCTCATAAAAACCTCTCTTTACTCCAACCTAAACTTTCTGTAGTTGGGCCTTATCAAATGCTGAGAAAAGCTGAAGGTAATTTTCTGTATACTTAAAGCCAGTTAAATGAATCAGCCAAAACAGTTATAGCTTGTACAGTATTAAGTTGATTCATAGGCTGTGTGTTTTGTACTCTTTTATTAAAATTATATTTTAAACCTGTTTTGAAATATTTCATAATCCATAACACTTTTAGCTATGGATCCTAGGCTCAGAGAAAATATTCTGTCTGAATTCATATAAATACCCTTAATTCACTGTATTATGGATGCAAATCTTACTAAAATAGGCCTCTTATGGTTTAAAGTGTATCTTATTTTTAAAAGGGATGCAGCAAATATTACTTTGGCACACATTGTGGGATAAAATGATTAGCTAACAGTGTAATAATGTGAAAGCAAATAGTAATTACCTTACAGTAGAAGTCTGAAAACTCATAGGAATCACAAATCACATGTACTTCCTACCTAGTAATGGTAAACATTTATCTTACTCCCACCTGCAGGCAATATTTTCTTAGATTACTTTCAGTTTAATTATACTGCATAGCAATAAAGAAAATTCTTTAAAAATACTTTTAAATCTCATGTCTCTTGTAAGGAAATAAAAATATGGCCAAATATCTATATATAAATGTGCTCAGTCAACTATTTTCAGCAACAATTTAGAGATAAACTACATATCCCCCAAAGAATGTTTAAGTACATGTGGCAGATTTATGACAAAAATACTAAACAGGAATTTTGAATTATGTTTTAGGATAATAACAATGTGAGAAACTGCTCAAAGTATAATGGTGAGTGAAAATTCAAAAGATACACCTATCCAAATGTTAACATTTCTTTCCACTTGTTTAATATAATTTCATTTTCTCATAAAATTCACATATATTTTTCAAAGTCTTTAATATCTACGTGTGATTCTCATTTTACTCCCTTCATTAATGTACATTTTTTGTCTTTAATATGAGCATTACTACTTTTATAGTCAGAAAACGTGGAATAATAAAGCAAATGCAATGCAATCTGGTCTTCTCTACTTTGAATCAGTAAATTCCTAGACTTTGTGGTACTTTTGTCCTAATGTTATACAAAAGACATGTAAAAATTGCCATTAAATCGAACTCTAACAAACAATGTAGAAAAGTAAATAACTTTAGAACTATACTTTAAATCTCGTAAAAATAAATATATTTACATTCGAGTCATTTATATACAGCATATGCATATAGCCTATAAAATTTAGTTGTGGTTTATCATAAAATTACATGTCATATAAACATAAAACAAGTTATTGGTTGCAAATTGAGGTTACCTTCTCCGAATTTAATATGATCCATTACACTTTTCAGGCTAGCGTATACCTCCATGAGTTTTCACTGCTACTTTATAAACACAAAAATATTTTTTAAAGCCATTCTAGAATGAGCTGTACTCAACTTGCTTTTAAAGCAAACCCACTGCAGCTCTCAAATGCTTAAAAGCATCAATAGAGTCTTCAGCTGTGATGGTCTGAAGGCCTGCTTCCCTTGTCTCTGATCCTCTTAAGTTTCTCTTGTAGGCATTCAAGCCTTTCCTTTTCTTTCCATCCCAAATGAACTTCAATACTCAGATCAAAGAAGTGGGAGGCCAGACTCTTTCCTTTGGAATTTGTTTTGTTTTGTTTAAAGAACATTTCCAATGGCATAAGCCACAGCCCAACTTTTGGACGAGGAGAGTAATTAAGTGCAAGGCCCTTCCCATCTTCCCATTACCGGATCCTCACAGAGACCTCAGAGTGCTGCCCTGTCCTACGGTACCCAAACAGCCTTGATAACCAGCGCACCGCCTCAGTGTTTACCCCCTTTCCTCTCAATCCGGGATGCCCTGTCCTGGTGCCCCCACCAGCACACCCGCTGTCTGGCCGCCCGGCCACCTTCTCTGACGCTTCCCCTTCCTTTCCACCCTGTCGCTCTGGCTGCCTGGTGGGAAAGGCACCAAGGAACTCAGATAAAGCAGCTTCCTATTCTCAGCGCTTTCCCTCGCTCTGGTGAGATTCCCAGGGAGACTGTTTGAATAAAATCACCTGGCAAAGAAAAAGCCCAAACTTTAGGCACCGGCCGCGGCGGAGCAGGAGCTGAGCGCTGGCAGCCAATGAGATCTCGAGCCGGGTGTGCGGGCCGCCGTTCCGATTGGGCAGCCGCCGGAGAGTAACCAATGGGAAGTGCGGGAAGGCCGGGAGGGTCGGGAGCTCTCACCTGTCACTAGTTTAGGTTGCGGAGGAGCATCTTGGCGGCTCAGAACCCTTTTGTCCACGGTACTCATGCCGCAAGCGTCGATCTGCGCGCGAACCAACTCTCGGCCGCATACTTTAATAACGTCGTCCTTCCCGTTGGCCACCACTGCTCTGAAAATTTGATTCAGGAGTAAACAGACTCCTAGTAGGTGGAACAAGAACAGGCGAGACATCCTGGCCCTGGTCGCTCCTGGAGGTCTGGACGTTGCTGCCTCTCTGATCTGCAGCTGCTGTGGCCTACAGACCTGGACCTGTGTGCCTGTCCCCGGCTTTTGGCTGCTTTCCCTACCTGGCTCAACCAGTCTTTTATATATCTCTTGGGCTATCACTCAGCTTTTAAGGGAAGAGTGCCGGCTCCACCCCTCTCCTAACCCCCTCCACAGAATTTTCTCCCCCAGCTCTTTTCACCCTCTCTGCCTTTCCTTCATTTGCCCATCCCTCTGTCCTTGGCCCTTTTACAGTTGTATTTTTCTCTCTTTTGTTGCTCTCAAACAATTTTGTATATTTAGGTAAAGTTATTTTAGATATGAAGCCTTTCCTTTTACATACATAGAAATAAAATTGAGATCGCCCATATTCTTACACCCCAGTTTTCCAGAGTGAACATTTGCCAAAACCCTTCTAACTTAAATAAGATTATAGTTAGATTATCTTATAAATTGGATTAATTAGTATGGTGTTGGGCATTATCAATCCATAAAAATATAATGGATAAATGAATAAATTGTTGATGAGAGGGAAAACTGATGACTTTTAATCTGAATCCAGATAAAAACATTTAAATCCCCAGTAACATCATTTGAGGCTTGTGCAGTAATGTCTTTAATTTACAACACAATTTCTCCATTTCCTTCCACTCTCTGGGATAAGTTAGATTGTAACTAATCTGAATATTTTAATTTAAAATTCTACTCTGCATCTCTACAGACTAGAAAACACACCACACACATACACACACACACAGAGCGAGAGAGAGAGAGAGAGAGAGAGAAGGAAAAAAAGCAGTGGAAATCCCACAACCCCAGAAAGAATAACAAATTATAGCACAAAGATATGTTTGTATGTTTGTTTGTTTACTGTATTTTGTGTTTGCTGTACCTGTAAGAGGTGATTTTTTATTTACCAGCATCTAATTTAACGTTTTAAAGATCCACACACTTCTGGATAATATGTTTAGTAGAGAACTCTTCTAGCTATAAATTTTTAGTACAAATAGGTTCATTTTAAAAAATAACTTGCTTGTGTTTATAATATACTCAGATTAGTTCAGCTCCACCAGATAAACTGGAGACATGCAGGAAGTTAGGGTAGCTTTGAAATAAAGTAATAACAATCTTTTAGTTACAAACATAAATATGGAATAAAATAATTCTAATTTCTAGATTGCTGGTGATTTCAGTAGGCTCACTTAGTATTGATCAAATACCAAGCAATGTGTAATTCTTCAAAAAATCCTCGACCAAAGCTATGAGATGGTCAGAGGCAATGCTTTCAAATGGATTTTCACTAAAACACACAGTTCGAGAGAGGCCTCTCAAAACTGAGGTTTGAAAATATTTCTGTGGGTTGACAGTCCTTGTAAAAACAATCCACGTGCAAGGCTGTACTCCAAAGTAATTACTTGTTAAAAATGTAAATTTCCAGGGATTTTTTTGTTTTTGAGGTTTTCTTTGAGCAGAGTTTGGCTCTTGTCACCCAAGCTGGAGTGCAATGGCACAATCTTGGCTACTGCAACCTCCACCTCCCGGGTTCAAACGATTCTCCTGCCTCAGCCTCCCAAGTAGCTGGGATTACAGGCTTCTGCCACCACACCTGGCTAGTTTTTGTATTTTTAGTGGAGGCGGGGTTTCATCATGTGGGACAAGCTGGTCTCAAACTCCTGGTATAGGAGGTGATCCACCCCCCTCAGCCTCCCAAAGTGTTCAGGGATGTTTTGTTTTTTTATGTTGTCTACATGGCTTTATACGGTCCCTAAAACTGTCCAGTACAGTACAGTGGCCACTTTCCCATTTTACAGAAAGAAGAAACAGATTGAGAGTAGTCATGCACTTATCCAGGGTAATTTTGGTTAGCACATGTGCCAGATGTGAGCTTACCCTACTGCTATGGATCACAGGCAATGCCAGTTTCAGTCTTTACAGGCACAGCTAAAAGGCATTTCATGTCCTTTAAATAAAAAGGAAACCTTTTTAAGGAGAAACAGTAAATACATCCATGCATACAGCTGTCAAGTGCTGGAGCTGGGGATTCCAACCCATGTCTACTATATTCCAAAGCCCCCTTTCTGATTCAAACCATAAGCCTTGTTTCTCCTTTCTTTTATTCCTGAAGCAGACACAGAAAGGGAGGTGAAGCAGCCATCTTGGGACCACGAGGTGTGGAGCATAAAGAGGAAGGTCTACATGCTTAGACACAGCTGCCTGGGAGGGTGGGAGTAGCCTGCTGGCATCACTGAGGAGCTAAATGGGGTTGGATGCTTTTTCTCATAGGCTCTTATAAGTAACTGTTTAAGGGTTTTCTGTTATTTACTATATCCTGAGATATAGATAGATAGAGATATATGTATGCATGTATATATATGCAGAATACATTTTTATTAAGAAATAAACTTACAGACATCAGTTTCCTATGAGAGCTTTAGGCATACTTTAGCCGTACTTGAATTAGATATTCTACAGATTAAAGTGATTGTTTGAGTGTTGATACTAGATGATTTACTACAGGAAATCTTTGTACCACTGAAAGAGGAGTCAATACTCTTTAAAAAGCAGTGAATACAGCTTCTGGGTCCAGGAGCCCTGCCTCCATGGATTTTGTGTAGGACAGGACGAGGTATGTGGGTCAGGATGGGGTCTGCAGAGCTGCCTTCTACATCTGTGGGTGCATCTTTGTCTTGTCCGAGTTGCAAGTTTCTTGGGCATTGTTCTCGTTCTTCTGTGTTGGAATCTCCATTTCATAGAGCACTCCTTTTGGCTTTGTCTCAGATGGTCTCTGAGCTTCTACAACCCCGTATTAAATTCCCTTGCTTGTGGCCTTCTACCTGCCCCATCTTCCATTCCCGACTTTGTCTATTAGGGCTTGGCCAACAGTTCTAAGAGAAACTTATTTATTTATTTTTTTTTAAGATATAAAAGTCTGCTCGTTTATATTTTACCACTAATCTCTTTTCCTAGCTTTGTTTGTATTTTCTACCAAATTCTTGTTGTTTTCTCTGATCTGTCAACAACAGGCAACTCATACCTGATTCCAATGACAGTCAGTGCTACACTGGATTTGTTTTTGTTTCTAGTTTTTTTTTTAATTATTTTTTCATTGAGATTTGGGGAAAATGGAGTGGAAATTGTTGTTTTCTTTTTTTTTTTTTTTTTTTTTTTTTTTTTTTGAGACGGAGTTTCGCTCTCGTTGCCCAGGCTGGAGTGCAATGGCGCGATCTCGGCTCACCGCAACCTCCGCCTCCTGGGTTCAGGCAATTCTCCTGCCTCAGCCTCCTGAGTAGCTGGGATTACAGGCACGCACCACCATGCCCAGCTGATTTTTTTTGTATTTTTAGTAGAGACGGGGTTTCACCATGTTGACCGGGATGGTCTCGATCTCTTGACCTCGTGATCCACCCGCCTCGGCCTCCCAAAGTGCTGGGATTACAGGCGTGAGCCACCGCGCCCGGCAGGTAAATGCTTTTATTCAGGCCTCCCGAATAAGAAATCAGTGCCGACTCCCCCCACGTGCCTTTGGAACCGCTCCAGATGTTTATGCTTTCCTTTCAGATTATCATGGTTCTTTATCAGAAGAGTCAAACAAGAAATGAAGGGATGTCGTGATCTTCAAAAAGACTTCTTCTCAGCAAACTGCTGGAAATACGTTGGTTAAGAGATTAGGAAAGATAAATAATTTCCTTAGTTTTTTCCTCATTTCTTACTTCTACTCAAGTAATACTGCATGTACTGAGAGAAAGTTCAGAAAGAATCACCCCTGGCCAGACCTGGTGGCCCCAGTAATCATCACGCAGGCCCCAGAGAAATTGAAAAACAAAAACAAAACAATAAGATGTCACTGTTTGCTTTTATTGTGGTTTGTGGTTTTACTGTTATGCTGGGCATTGGCTCTCATGTGTGATCCCCAGTTTGACCATACAATCCAGCCATTGCCACAAGCCACACGTGGAACATCACAAGGGTCCCCTGAGCCTGGCTCCTCCATCAAAATTTTGTTTAAAATTAATGTCAAGACATCAAGCGTTGATCTGTGGTGTAAGGCCTAATTAATCCCAATATTATGGGCTGCCTTGGCATCTGGTAAGACTGGGAAGGCCTCACATGGCCTGACCACAAGTTTCCCTCCTCACTCTGCTCCTGCAAACAACCCTCCGCATCAAGAGAACTAGACACAGTTCCTGCTTATTCTTGAAGAGCGAGTTTCAGTTCTCTGCCAGCCCTGGAATTATTCAAAGAAGGCAGTCACATCCTTTCATGGTAACCAGGGGTCACCTAACTCTTTTGCTACTACAAAGCCTGCCTCACATGCCCCTCTTACTCAGTTTGTTCCCAACTGCAACCCGCATGTGGCCCTGCATGGCATTTAGTGTCCTTGTCCTCCACCCTGTAAGTCTATGTAATTAATAAATTTCTGTCAGTCTCGTTAGGCCAGTGTCACTTGTCATATGTTTGGCCATGTGCACAATTCTAATGCAGGAATCCCTCCTGCTCCAACAGGGTGAATAGGAGGTGATTAAAACAACCAGCTACTACAACAGATCTCCTCCTCTTCTTTGTTCCTAGAGGAACAGAGGAGTCAGTTCAGACTGTATAATGTGTTCTATGGTTCTCAGGAACTCTTTGCTACCTCTTTCCATATCCCTTCTCACTCTGCTCAGTGTTGATAGAAAGTCAGTCTCTCCAATGCAGAAATCATGATCTCTTTGTAACCCCTTCAGCTGTTTCCCATTACCCCCAGCATGTAGTCTAAACTTCAGCGGACTTTAATATCGCCTCTTTCTGTCTTCTCTTTAGCAGCATTTTCCTTTCCCTCTTCCACAACCCAGTCCTCAGACCTACTGACTCACTGGCAGTTCCATCGGCCTTGCCACTACCTTTGCCTTTCCCTGTTCCTCCTCTGCCTCTTTTTCTTTGCTTATTTTCTTTTCAAAAGCAGGTCAAGTATTAACTACATGATGGATCTTTTGCTAACCATCTCTTCCATACTCAGCACCCCCTTCCCAGTCCCTCTACAGATTGTTCCTTCTATCACAGCACTCACAACTCTTTACTTGTAGGTCTTTCCTACTAGACCATGAGCTCTTTTTGGGCAGTGACAAGCACACAGTGGCTGCTCAACACATCTTGTTTGAAGGAAATTTATAGATCTCATAGTGAGGTGTGGCAGCTTCCCTGGCAGTTGTGGGTAGAGGTATGGGAACAACTAGTAGGTCCTGGCTACAGAGTAAAAAATTAACTGAGTCCCCAGGTTACTAGAACTAGGGAAAGGCAGAGCCCCTGTAATTAAAGATCCTGTGACGCAGTGAGGAGATCCAGGCTGCCACAGGAGCACTAATTTTGGAGTGAGTCATATCTTTGAGGAGGGGGAGTGGAGTAGTTGTGATGGATAAAAGAGGAATCCACAGGATTGCGGATGAGAGCAAGGAGCAGGAAGCAGGAGGAATATCTTAATTGGGCTAAGGTCTAAGGAAGCAGGGTTTTAGAGAGGGCTTGGGGTTATCTCAGAGCAATCATGCCTAATCCCTCCCTCCTCCAATTTTTGCACCCTGTTTAGTTCTGGACTTTAGGTAGAGAAGGTTAGCTGCTTTAGCTCTTGCACTCTTTCTACCCTAGAAAGAGAACAAAACCAGGAGATTCTTGTGTGTGAAGTTGTGTTTGTGTGTGGGACTTTTTGCTTTCAGTAATTTCATACCCTTCCTCCCTAAACCTCTTCCCTACACCTTCACCAAAACAAGTTTCACAGGATTTAGGATCTATATTTGTTTCCTAGAAAAAAACTAACATTCCAATGAAGTCCCATTCCTATCTCTTCCCTGCTAGGGTGACTGATCTTTCAGATCCCCTAGTCACTCATGGCTCCCATTCCCAATTGTGCATGGCTTTAATGGAACCTTTAATGTTATTACCTTTTCTCTTCTTTCTTAACATATCATTTATAACTCTTTTTGAACTATTTTTAGAGGTTGCCCAAGAATTTGCAATATACATTTACAACTAATCCAAGCACACTTTCAAATAACACTATCTTACTTCACGGCAGTATAAGTATCTTACAATAAAAAATAATTATAATTCCTCCCTTCCATTTCTTGTATCATCACCGTCATTCATTTCATTTAAAAATAACATATACTAAGATATATATAAGCATACATAATCTAATACATTGTTCCAACCATTTTGAACAAAGTGTTCTATCAATTAAAAATAAGAAAAATGAAATTTTTTTTACCTTCACTTATTCCTTCTCTGATATGCTTCCTTTCTTGATTTAGATCTGAGTGTTTGCTCCAGGAAGTCCCACTTTCAGAAACAAATGTGATTCTAGCAGGAGCTAGATCTCAGTCCAAGACTTCACCATGAGCTCATCTGGCTGGAGAACAAATGCACTCTAAGATGACAGGCCATCACCTGACTCAGATAATTGCTTCTTGACATACCATAACCTGCAAC